TTTTTGTGTATGGTGTGAGGTACAGATCTTGTTTCATTTTTCTGCAAATGGATGTCCAGTTTTGCCAGTACTATTTGTTAAACAGAGTCTCTTCCCCAATCACTAGATTTCAGCCCTTTGTCAAAGATTAGCTGACCATAGGTCGATGGATCTATTTCTGGGTTCTCATTTCTGTTCTGTTGGTCTGTGTGTCTGTTGTTGTACCAATACCAGGCAGTTTGACTCCCGTGGCTGTATAGTAGGTTTGAGATCTGAGAATGTATGTGAGACCTCCTACTTTGTTCTTCTTCAATAGTGCTTTGCTTATCTGATGTCTGATGTTGGTGATTGGTTTTTCCGTATCCTTAAAGAATGTTGATGGGATCTGGATTGGGATTGCATTGAATGTATAGAGTGCTTTTGTTAGAATTGACAGTTTCACAATGTTCAGTCGTCCTGTCCACAAGCATGGCATGTTCTTCCATTTATGTAGATCTCTTATCTACATAAATGAAGTTTCATGAAATAGTGTTTTGTAGTTTTCTTTGTACAGGTCTTTTGTGTGCCTGGTAAGATTTATTCTGAGGTATTTTATTTTTTGGTAGCTATTCTAAGTGGTAGTTAATTTCCTTAATTCTTTTTCAGCAATCTCTTTGCTGGTATAGCAGAATCCAACTGATTTTTGGATGTTGATCTTCCATCCTGCCATGATGCTAAATCTCTTAATTAGTTCCAGTAGATTTTTCTACTGTGTCCCTTGGGTTTTCTAGGTATAAGATCACATCATCAACAAATAGGGATAGTTTGACTTCTTACCAATTTGGATGGCTTTGATTTCCCTTTCTTGCCTTATTGCCCTGGGTAGGACTACCAACACAATGTTGGATAGAAGTGATAATAGAGGGCATCCTTGTCTGGTTCCTGTTGTAAAAGTCTGATTTATGTATTTTGGGGCTCTTTCATCAGGTCTGTAAATATTTATTATGGTTATATCCTCTTGTTCGATTTTTCCTTTAATCATTATATAGTGTCCTTCTTTGCCTCTTATGGTGGTTTTTGTCTTAAAGTCAATTTTATCACAAATTAATATTGCCACTCCTACTCTTTTTTGGTTGCCATTTGCTTGATATATCTTTTTCCAACCTTTGGTTTTTAGGCTATTTTTGTCTTTGTCTCTAAGGTGTGTCTCTTGTAGACAGCATATTGATGGGTTATGTTTTCTTATCCAGTCTCCAACTCTCTGTCTCTTGAGTGGTGCATTTAATCCATTAACATTCAGTGTAATTATTGACAAGTATGAATTTGTTGCTGTCATTTTATTATGTGTTTTTTTGTGGTGTTACTTATTTCTTTGTTCCATATAATTTTCTGTGCTGAACTCATTTTGTTTATAAATTGTGCTATCATTTCCTTCATTGCTGTATTTGCTAAATATTTGTGCTTGTCTTCTTTTTTATTGCAATGTGAAGTTTTATCATTTTTTCTTTGAGGTTACCCTGTGATTTATAATTTTCTCCCCGAGTTTAGAACAGTCCATTCTATCTTACAACTCTCTTGATTTCCTTACCATTTAGAAGTTCTATAACTACACTATTTTTTCCCTCTCTTTGGTTTATAGTTGAATCTCATTTCCCTGTTTACAATCTTGTAAGCTTCTTTTACTTTAGATACTTCCATAACTGGGTTGGTTTCTGGGTTATGTCAACATGTGTATTAATCGTCAGTTGTTGTTTGCTCTTATTGGTTCTCTGTTCAAAGGAGTCCCTTTAGTATCTTTTACAAGGTTGGTCTGCTCTAACAAATTCTCTTAATTTCTGCTTATCTGGAAATCTCCTAATTTCACCATCATAGCTCTGGTAGCATAGTGGCTAAGACACTTG